GAGAGGGGGGGGGGGGAGGCATGGAGGGCAACCGTGGATGCCAGGGACAATGTGGGAGGAGGATGGGACATTGCAGAGGGTGGGGGATGGGGAATCAAGGGTGGCAAAACAAAAGGCAAGGTATGCAGGACATAAGAATTGGAAAATTATTTGCTGAGAACATGTATGTTGATGTGCTTGATTGAGCCAATGCACAGTGTATTTTGGATGGAAAATTCATTTGTGTGTTGTGATGGTGTATAGTGAATTAATGTAGAAAATGAATAAATTAAAAAAAAAACCCAATAGACAAATGAGATTGCATCAAACTAAAAAGCTTCTGGACTATAAAGGAAGCGATTAACTGAGTGAAGAGACAGTCTATAGAATGGGAGAAAATATTTGCAAATTATATCTGATAAAGAGCTAATATCCAAAATAAATGAAGAATTCAAACAATTTAATAATAAAATAAATAACAAGCATATGCAAAAATGTTGAACATCACTAATCAATAGGAAATTTCAGATAAACCCCATGATAAGATAGTACATCACTGTAGTTATAATGGCCATTATGAAAAAAGGTGCAAAAAAACCCCAAAAACAAAGAACAGCAAATGCTGGCGACAATATAGACAAAAGGAAACTATTACAAGCTGTTGGTGGGAATGCAAAATAGTACAGCCATTATGGAAAGTAGTATGGAGGCTCCCCAATAAATTAGAAATAAAACTACCATATCATAGCAGCAATCCCACCACTGTGTATATATCAAAAGGAAATCAGTATGTTGAAGAGCTATCTGTACTCCCGTGTTTATTGCTGCATTATTGACAGTCACTAACATGAAATTAACCTCAGTATCCATCAAAGGATGAATTGATTATGAAAATATGATATCCATCAGTAGCCCCCAACCTTTTTGGACCAAGGACTACTGGTTTTATGGAAGACAATTTTTCTACAGATGGGGTGGGGGGTGGCTTTGAGATGATTCAAATACCTTACATTTTATTTCCATTATTATTACATTGTATTATATAGCGAAATAATTATGCAGCTCACCATAATGTACAATCAGTGTGAGCCTTGAGCTTGTTTTCCTGCAAGTAGACAGTCCCATCTGGGGACTCCTGTGAGAATGTAAAGCTGTCCCTGACATGGCAGGAGGCAGAGCTCAAGTAGTAACAGACCCATGGCGGGGGGCGGGTGTAAGCACAGAGGAAGCTCTGCTCACTCACCTGCTGTTCACTTCTGGCTGTGCAGCCCAGCTCCTGAGAGGCCACAGATGGGTCCTGGTCTGGGGTCCAGGGGTTGGGGACCCCTGGTATACATACACAGTGGAATATTACTCACTCACAAAAAGGAATCCAGCTGCTTTTGACAACATGGATGAACCTGGGTGACATTATGTAAGTTAAAAAGACAGTACAGAATGACCAGTACTGCATGACCTCACCTGTATGTGGAGAGCAAAGTCGACCTAGAAGTAGAGAGCAGAATAATGGTTACCTGGGGTGATGCAGCTGGGAGTGTTAGTCAAAGGACACAGCATTCCAGTTAGGCAGGAAAAATAAGTTTAAGAAGTCTGTTGTACAACACGTTGACTATCATTAATGTTATACTCTTGAAAAATGCTAGGAGAGTGGGTGTGTTTTCATCATAAACATGACAGCTGTGTAGGGTAATATGTGTGCTAATAAATTACTAATAGATTAGGTCATTCCGCTTATCACTTGTTACGTCATGTTGTACATGATAAATACATACAGTTTAATCTATTAAAATGAAAATAAAATAATTTCTAACTCAACATTCTTTTCCCATGTTTTAACATGTTTTTATGTGGAGGTTGTTAGTGTTCTTATGTCTCGTGTGCTGCTTTTCTGAACATCTGCCTCTGTCCACCTCTGCTCCTGAGCGTCTCTCGAGTTTCTCTTGAGGCCTCACATTTGCATGAAGACATTTTCATTATCAGCCGGATAAGGTAAGCTGTTGTTCTGCTTTACTTATCTCCACTATATCTCTTTAAAAATATTTTTAAATTTCTTGTATACATTCAATCACATACATCACTTAGCTCGTACAATGAATGTTCCAGCATGAATACATTTCTTGCTAGTCCAGTTGGGGAGACTATACACGTTATCATCAACAGATAATCTTACTGTTGTATTTTCCTTACTCCTGTTTTCTTAGTTTTAAGCTTTATGCTTCCACTGGAACATCCTCTCCTTAATCTTAGTTAACTTGAAAAACAGTAGTCCTGTTCCCTTTTCATAAATCTTTGTTCTTGTTCATTGCCCATAGAGTATAATAAAAATTACTTTAAAATAGTTGCATTAATAACGTCCTGAAAATGAGTTTTAAGAGCTCACATTCATAGTATTGATGTTCTTTATTCTTCTGTTATGGCATCACCTTATTCCCTGATGACAAATAAAGACATACACTTTCATTTATCTGAGAACAAATATTCAATTCAGAGATCAATGAATTGGTATCCCTCGTATACCCTGATTTTTCACATGCAATATCTTCTTTCAAGCAATAAGAACCAGAAATGTTTTCATTATAAATAATGCAATATTGATTCACTCTCAGTAGTATACTTGAAATACTTTGTGCCATATTGGATCTTTCATGCTTATGCCTTCCTTTATCTGAGGTAATGAAAATAAAACACTCAGAACAGAGTCATTACCAGATTTTTGCAACACTTGGTCATTGGGGAGTCTTGTTTCTCTTAGGTACCAGGGATTCTAGCACCTCTGGGGTTCTGGGTTAGTTTGCTGGGGCCCCTCCCTGTAATGCTTCTC